TTAATTAGTACTTACTATTATATACTATAGTGTGTGTGTGTGTGTGTGTGTGTGTGTGTATATATATATATATACACACACACACACACACACACACACACACATACATACTATAACTCTGAAAGTACTTAATGTATCTTCATGACATTTGACAAACATTTTGTAAACATTAAAAGGCTTTTATTGACAAAAAGTCAGAGCTTTTAATGAAGTAATTGCACTAAAAACTTTTTTGTGAATATATGGAGTCAAAGTGTTTACTGCTCTGACTAGTGATTTTCATGTTAAGACTAAAAATACTTTTCTTCATCTGAAAATTGTCAGATTTCATTTACATAATCTCTAAACCTCCTAAATAACTTCCAAACGTTTTTTAGTAAAATTTTGTATTTTATCTGTTATTTTCTCTATCCTAACTCCACATGAAGTCAGACAAATTGACCGACCTCATAACCACCATAAAAATTACAAAATATCTAAATTACCCTTCTTTCTAGAATTACTTCAAATTGTAACATGAAGCTACATTCGTTTATTCGTAACAGTATACATCTATTTACAATTAAATTTTACTGTTTTATCGCCCTTTGAACCATGTCTAACTACTATCCATGCCATTATAGGTTGTAAATCAGCTTGAAGTTCACAGCAGTATACATTATCTTATCAAATTACGTAATGTACATCTAAATTGACATTTAACTGTTCCGAACACAACATTATACAATACATCATTTGATTGATGAGAACCTTGACTTTCTATTGGTTATAGGTAATATATAATTAAACATAAGAGAAAACTATTAACAAATTCTGTAACAGAGGATGTAACAGGTGGGTGTGGCAGGAGGGGTCCGATTTTCTATTCAATAGCTCTGTAACCAAACACAATTGAAGACTATAAAAATTATGGTTTGTCTGAACAATGATGATTTTATAGAGAGTAATTTACGTTTAATTTCGTACTTTTTTTGAGAGGTGGCGGATAAAATAGGGAAGATGACATACTAATAGAAAATGTGTCACTTGGGTCACCCTAGGGGGAATTCAGGATTATTTTAAATATTGCCTTGTAGTATTAAGATCTTAAAACTTATATACTATTAAAATATGGATTATTAGCTAAGATTTTATGCCATTCTAATTAGTATAATATAAACAAAAAGTAGTTTAATAAAATAGTAAATGTAAGACACTAAAACCTTGTATAGGATACCCATGATTGTGTATAAATAAATATGTCAGCTATAATGGCACTTACATTGGCAAAATTATACACCAATTACACCTGTGAATATTTGGGTGTATCAAGCAGAACTGGTAAACAACTACCAAATCCTTCACTCTGCAATTCTCACACATAATGAAAACAGCAACCACCCTGATCTTAATTAAAAATTTCAAAGTAATCTCATCTAGATCATCCAAATTGAACTTTTAATTAAAAAAAGTTTATCTATTATAAGTGAACTCCCAACTTTAAATAATAACACAACTTTGCCACAATTAAGTCTGTTTTGAATAACTTGTATAATATTGTTAGAGTTGTTGTACTGTCCTATTTTCTCGTTTTTTACTATGTATTTTAATTACTCTTTACAAAATGTTGGAACTTTAGAAATTTTTGTACCTAATAATTTATCTTGCCAATATAGCTTGCTGAAGATGGAATATGTACATTCCAAAAAGTTCAAGAATTAAACTTTTGATACCATACATACATGTCAAATGTTTGTTGTTGTTGCCATTGTTCTGTTTTTCATCATTAAACTTCAATTCCCATTGAATGAATCTGTTGCTAGCAGTTAAATACTTAAGCATTTCATTATTAGATATTCACCCAGACCTTGGCAGAATTTCAGCTATCTTTAGTGACAATGAATATTTTGTTAATAAAACCTAATTGATGTATGATGTTTTTTGGACTTGAGAAAACAATATATGACAAAAGCAGGTTCAATTTACTACAGATTGTTAAATTTAATTTTTAGTTATAGTTATGAATATTCCATAACTTAAGAACTTATATTTCAGAAAAGTTACTTGTTTCTAGTGTGTTTAAAAAGTTTAAATCACATTAGTCAATTAGCAAATTACCCAGCTCTAATTTCACCTGCATGCAATAGTTATCAATAGGCTCATTAATAATTTTGGCTGACCTTGCAAACCTCAAGTACCCACCCTGTAACTATAAAGGTATACATACTATAATATTTAATGTAGTAAGTATATCTTGACAAAATTTGGCAAGATTTTAGTAAATATTACAAGTCTTTCATAAACAAAGAATTAAAAATTTTTAATTTAGAATTTTTACTAAATATATGTTTGTGATGTTACAAAAATCAGAGTCTGGGTCAGACTCTGAACAGTCTGAATGAAAGGTGATTTTCAGGTTAAGACTAAAATTTTACAATTTTCACATTTTATTTGTATAACTTAAACTTTCTAGATGAATATGAAATTTTTTATTTATTTATTCTTATTTATCTTTTATAGTTTAAAACACAAAATATCAACATGCAATAAAAAAGCAATGTCCTAAAACTATTATAATTTAATTTTCAAACAAAGCTATATGTGCATTACAATAACTTCCTTTCCTGTTCGAGAAGACCTCAACAATAGCAAACTATGAAATTGCCACAAAATTAACCCAAAACTGATCATGAGAACGAGCTAACCTTATAAGAAAAGCAGCAAGTTAAAATATTTTTCTGTTGGTTATAAATAATCCAATAGCAAATATCCGAGAATTAATGAAATTTTTTAAAGACAGCATGTGCTGTTACAAGGGGTGTGACATGAGAGTTTCAATTTATGGCATACAACTTGTTAAAGCAAGAACAGAGGATATAAATTTTCATTTTAGCTCAGAGACATCTGATGTACGCATGTAAGTCCTCAGACAATAAGATATTTTAGGAGTGGAAAGAGATCTTAAAATGGGCAAATCAAAGCACAGAAGTGTCAGGTGATACTAAAAAGTAAAGAAAGAGAATTTATTTAACTATTTCCTTTTGAAATAAACTACATTTTGATGTCAAGTTTATTGACATACATTGACAAATAAAGTAGTTTAATGAACTTTTCAATGTAACTGTAAATATGTGGTGATACAAGAACTTTGACCTACTCATTTCTAGATGGTTGATAAATTTAATTGTAATTTTTGTTAATGGATTATTCTATATGATGTTAATTGATGTAATAAATGCTCACAGCCCACTCCAGTTGAAAGTACACAAGATAAAAAGTGAACATTACAATCATAATTTTTAATTGATCAACTTGTATTGTTTAACTGCTTATGCCTAGCACCAAACAGTATGTAATTAACATAGAAAACAAAAACTAAGAAGCTTGAAAATAATTGTTTAAGATAAGCTTTTATTGAGCATTACAGATAATCTAGGCAACAGATCCCATTCTTTTAAAATCCAGGACTTAAGGTCTGGAAAATAATCTTAGAATTTGATGATTTTTTGGGATCTGTACAAACCCTGTTAATATTAATTTATAAGAAATAAAGAAAAGTTCACAGATGAATTATTTCATTTAACTTTCTAGTTCAGTAAATAATTTATAAAAGTAAAGGTTTGTCTAATAAAAACTTGACAAACATAGCAAGACATAATGAAATAATTATATTTATTCAAAAAATACGATAACTACATTTCATGGAGAGCTAATAAACAACTCTTATTTTGCATGTATCCCCATTTATATACAATCCTGAAAGAACCCATTCAATGTATATTCTCTTACCTGTAAGGCTTTGTAAAACAGCTACTTGTAGTTTTTAAAACTAAGTAATGAAATGGGTATCTTAAGCAAAAAATATTTGCATGATCTTTTTATTATTTACTTTGGTAGTAAATCACAAAACGAAGCAAATCATTTCAAATTTATTTACTACTGCAACTAATTTGCAGTTCATATATTTGACTCACTGAACCAGACATATACTAACGTTTATTAGGCTCAGGTAGAACTTAAAGATTACCTTTGAGTATTAAATTAAAATCAATGCATTTGGTACATTCAGTGCTCCTCAGTTATAACATTGGTTTTGGGGGAGGAGCAGCAACCTGCATTATAAGACCCCTTGCGGTGTAACTGAGGAAATGGTCTTATTACCCAATACAGTATTTAAATACAACTTTTTAATTTTTTGGATTTTCTTTAATAGCTTCAAACAACAAAATACAAAAAAATATTTATTGACAACAATATAAAGTCAGTACATGTGATTTATTTATTTGAATCATGTTTTTAAAAAGTCAGTGATTTTTTGATCAGGTCATTTTTTTCAGAGATACTAACTGGAAAAGTTTCACTGGCTCAATATTCAGTTATGCCTCTAGGCACATCATCCCAGTTTCTAATATAATAATACAGGACAATTCTACATTTGTAAACCTCACACACTTATCAGATTATCACAACACCAAGACACCACTAAAGAGTGAACTAGAGTCAAGAAAGACACACAGCAGAAGGTTCCTTGCTGGGCAAATCCAATGTAGAATGTAGAGGGAAGAAGGAAAACCCACATTATATTTGATTCCACAACATAAGTGATGGCATTATAACCAGGGAGCACTGTATACAAAATTCAAACAATATTTGGATTTCCATATTTCTATGTTGTGTTGTAGAAAACAAATATATGTAACTGTTCAAACACCTGCTTAGCAGGTAGTCTTCACAGACATACTTACCTTAGAAACAATTTCTCAACTGGGGTTAAAATCAAAAATTTAAATGTTTGAACACAATGTCTACCACATAATAAATTAAGTATAAATAAAATTAAACATTCAGAAGGTACTGAGGAGTATTCACAGTGTCCCAAACTCGTATGCCACAATGGAAATTTAACTTTGAAAGTCAGGTATGACACACTGGTGGGGCACATGGCAGCCAACATGTTCAGTAAAATAAAAATTGGAGAACAAACATCATTTTACAAACAGAAAATTAGTTTATGCCAACCTGTTTACTTACATAGCCCAACAAATTTCTTGTACACGTAAACAATATTTTAACCTTTTATTATCCAACTTTAACTTTTCTGAAAAGCTGCTTGTATTTTTGCTATTCAAATGTTTTCAAAAAACTACTGAATGAATGACTTATTGAGCAGATTAACTAAACCTTAATAACATTACATGGAAAGAAAAGGCTTACTTTTGTCTTCTGTGTATCTCTTTTCCATTTTGATAATGAACTGCTGCACTAGTCTGAAAATAAAATAGAAAGAGACATCAGAAGATCAATACATTATCTTCTAAAACTGTTAACTTTTTAAAGTAGTTCAAACAGTTGATAAACATGTAAATATATCACTTACAAAAGTAAGTGCTTGCTATACAGCTTTCACTGATTTTATATTGTACTGAGAAAATTAAATTAACCTCTATAACCAAAAAGTGATTTGAAAATATTTCTGTAAATATTATATACATCAAACATATGATTAGTGTTACAGTTAACCTATGAAACCAATTAATACAGCTTGTTGATACTTTCTGGCTCAAACTGGCAAATCAATCAAGCATGAAGTTGGAGTCATTGAATGTCCATGTGTTGAATGTTGGACAGAGGTTGTCTGAACAAGAATGGGTGAAGAGGTAGTGGTAGACATCCCTGGAGCAACTGAAGAAGAGGAAACCATGTCTGAGCAGGCCAAAAAGGTGCTATCAAGAGAACCCAACACGGGGTGGAACGAATCATAAACAAGACACTGGGTAAGAGACGAATAGGAGGAAAGACAATCAAATGTAATCCCCTCCAGTCTTAACTGAAAGTATCAATTGCCAGAGCTCGTGGATGTGGAACTGGAGACCAGAACAACTGTAGGAGAGTATTCCAATGGGTTGCAAGGGCATCAGTCATTGGAGATCTGAACTGAGAACATTGAAAGACCTCATGATGTAACATCCATTCTGTTGGAAGAATCTGATGGGGTCAAGAAAGATGATCTCCTATAAGATTCATAACCTCTGGCACATGACAGGCCCAGAGATGGATGTTGTGGGAATGAGCCCAATAAAGAAGATCCAAAGCCCAAAAACAAAGATCTCCAGAATGAGTACCTCCCTGACGAGAAAGATATGATACCATATGGAGTTGTCTGAATGGATCATGACAATTTTGCCGTGCAAGAGAGGAAGACCTTGAATCATCACTCAACGTAGCACAAGAAGTTTGAATGTTGATATGCAGGGTAGATTTGTAGTATGTCCAAATACTATGGAATTCCTACTTCTGAAAAAAGCACCCCATCCAGACGAGGTGGTGTTATCTGGACCCCAATATTTATGTTGTTCCTGCCTAGTCACCACTTGATATTTGCAAAATTGCTCTCGAGCAAAGAGACTGTTTTATCTAAAGGATTGATATGCATAAGCCATTGGTCATGAAGTGACCACTGAATAGATCTAATATGGGTCCAAATCCCAGACAGAATCATCCGCGGAGTGGGAGAAGGTTACGTAAGCAAAAGCCTGACAATCCCTTCCATATTGTGAAGTCTGAAGTGTGTTGAAAAACACCCAAGATGGACCAGGTATTGAGTTGGTGAGAGAATGGATTTTGCCAACCTGATAATGAAGCCCGCCCTTCTGGCCCTTGGAAAGGAAAATCTGAGTATGTAGTCAGCAACGTGATGGGTTGGTACCAAAAGAAGCCAATTGTCCATATAGTGATATGTGCACAGACCCAGAAAATGGAGATGCGAAGGCCCATATTACTCTGTAGAAAACACATGGTGCTGAAGCAAGATGAAACAGGAGAGCTCGGAACTGCAAAACCAGGTACTCGTGCACAAAACATAGAAATTGATGACAAAAATTTGCTATGGGGATGTGAAGGTAGGCATCTGTAACATTGAATTTGGTCATCAAAAGACCTGGTGTGAAGTGCCATTGAAGTTGAAGAAAAGTTTCCACGGTGAAACGAGGAGGCTGTAGGAAGTGTTTGAGTCAAGACAGATCGATGATAGGATGCCAATCTTCAGTGTTCTTTAGCAAGAATAGAATCCTGGATGAATGGGATCAACCTTCTTGATGGCTCATTTGTTGAACAACTCCTGAATGGCCCGGGAATGAAAGTCTGAAGGAGGAGAAAAGACAACCAGATAGGGAGGACAATAGAGGGGGAGAAGTTAAATGAATCTCAAACCCCAAATCTAGCACTCTGAGAACCCAAGGATCGATGGTGAATGAACACCAAATGTGTTTTAAGAAATGTAACCATCCTCCCACAGGACCTGGTGACAACAACCTGTCAGAAGATCCCGGAGAATACAAACGGAACCAATCCCGTAAACCAATAGGTGTCAAAGGTGGGGGCCATGAGACGCAAATGGTCGATCCTTCAGGATTACCCACTAGAGTAGAAGAGAGGCAAGCAACCAATGATGACAAAGAAGACTGCAAATGTGGCATTTCAAATCGGGGTTCTAAAGTTTCCAGGACTATGGCAAACAAGTAAGGCCAAAGAAAGGGCTCCTCCCATAAATCACAAAGGTCAGTGGATGGCAAACTAATACCCTCCAACAAAGCATCTTGACTCAATAAGTCCCAACAACAGAACAACCACAACACCAAGGCAAGGTCTGAAGAGGACAAACGAGCATAGTGGTAACCACTAAGGGTCCCAGTTTGTGTCAAATTGATGAGAAGAATATTGATATGTTTCAGACAAAAGGTAAAAGGAAGAGACGTATTGCAATACAGTAGTAAGAGACAAACGATTCTGCAAAAACTGAGATGTGTTAAGAGTGATAACAGTTTCCAACCTGGAACCCCATAGATCCAACCTGTTGAGTGTCCAAATATATTTCATCCTGACGATGATAAGCCAGGGCATGTTGTTCTGATAAACGAGGGGGGAAAGGCATAGCGATGCCCTCTCATAATTGCATTGCAGACCTCCCTGCATGCACAGCAATATCAGGGGAAGAACTAAGTAATCCCCCCAAGAACTATCTAACAAGGCAGGGGTAGACTCAAGAGCAACGGGATTAATCTCCAAAACTTCACAAACTCCCATAACTAACCGCAGAAAAGGGGTAGAAGGTGTCTGATCAGATGAGCCCCCAGTAGAGTCAGCCCTAGTGAAAGGTGCACGAAACAGTGTCTAAATTCTCCCCAGTATATTCATGTTCATGATGAAAAGTCATCTCTGAACCCCTGGGGAGACACCCCTGGGCCTCTTCAAGGACACCATCTTGCACCAAATCAGGTCACAGACAGCTTCCGCCGTCATTAGCAATTCACCTGCCAGTAGAAAATGTCCAGATTATCTGTTTTTTAAATTTGTGACAAAATAATTTTAAATAGAATTTTGCTTTTGCAAAAAGAGTAATAAAACAGAATGATGAAGGTTTTTAAAATTATTTTATTTTCTTGTAAGGGTAGGGGTAGGCAGTAAGGTATGTATTCTAATAGATATCAGCTTGATGATCCACCAATTTGCAAATACTACTAATAACCCAGTTCTAGTGTGTGATCATTATATTGTTACGACAGTGGGGGTCACGTGACGAGTATTCTAGAAGATTCGCTAGTGTGTTACGACAGCGGGGTCATGTGACGAATATTCTAGAAGATTCGCTAGTGCGTTGCGACAGCGGGAGTCAATTGACGCTGGTAGCACGTGTTGAGAGTCTTGGAAGTTTCTAGAACAGGCAGTATTATCGTATATAAGTGCGCTAGACAGTGAGAGAGACAGATGTGGAGACAAAGCAGGCAGAGAGAAAGAAAGACAGTGATTACGGTTGGCGGGAACTGAGGATAGCAGACACAGAGATCGGAACTATAGTTTGCGGGGACGGACAATTAAGTCCAAGCGAGATAGAAAGTGAGTGAATTGTTGTGAACTATAGTGTGTGTAACTGTGAAAATCAAGTACATTACAAAGTTGTATTGAGGAAGAATAAACAAGTTTTATAAAGAAAGGACTTGTATCTTAGAAGAATTAACAAACAAACATACAAAGACGTAACAATATAATAATTTCAAGTAAATGTTTTTATTCTCACAATCAGGCATGATTGCCAATTAATGTTTTTCTCCAAAAGTACAGCAAGAAACAGCTCATGATCAATTATCCACCACCTTATAAACACATTGCTTGATAATCCAATTAAAGTCATATATATACTTCCTTTGATTGCAAACTGTAGGTACGAAGGTTGAACTAACCATACATGACTAATTAAACAAGTCACCTACTTTACATAGTTCACCCATGCATATACAAATCAATCAGATAGCACTTTCATTTCACTGATAATTACATGATTAGGTCTCTGCACTTACAGGAAACCACGTGACATCCATGAGCTAAGCTAATGTTTACATGGGTCAAGCCAATTTGTAATGTACAATACTTACACATTCCTAATAAAGTACAAGGTAACTCGCATATTTTGTACTGCTTATTAACAATGTGAAAATGTCACTTCCCACAAACTGTTACCAAAATTACAAAAGTATACTTTATTGCAAGAAATGCTTCCCTGTATACCTAATTTCCTTTTTACTTTAAGAACAGCTTATTCTAATGTTGCCACTTAGTTTACCGTAAAACTGAAATGGTATTCTGCGTTTCCAATTTATGATCAACTTTGTACTTCATTCCTACAAGTTATTTTGTGTAGATTTTGACATTTTGTATGTATGTCCAACTGTGCAGTCCTGGTACAGGTTTTTTATAAATATTATTTAAAAATGTCTTAGTGAGTCACTTGTCTTTATAATATTTAATATTATGGCTTGAAATTTTCACATCTCTTGTTTCATTGATAAAACATAGCCAACTCATGTGAAATTTTATATTTGTGTTAAGGATGCATTCTGTTGGGTTTATTTTAATATTTCTTGAAATAACAAAGAAAACTGTTTTCAATGGGTCACTACACAAATCTGAATAGGCATATATATGGCTGATACACTTATCAGTCCTAATAACTGAGCTAGGTTAGACCTAAACCATCATTGGTTCTTTTTTAGGAACATATCTATTCTGGTTTGAAATCATTTTTTAAATTTCCCAAATCTGTCTAACATTAATATCTTTACTATGAGTTTCATTTATTTTTAAATAATGAATATAAAAAAAATTACTCACCATTGGATTCCACAGTAAAAAATTAGATTAATACTGCAATTTGAATTATGTATTTAATAATTAATGAAGAACAATAATCGTACCTGTAAATTAACTCTTCATACCATGAGACCATTTCATTGGAACAATGCTAATACAATTTCTGTGACTGATATAAAATTATTGTTTCACCTAGTAACCTGGGACATTACATGAAACTTGTGACAGGCAAAATAAAATGTAGTCCTACTAAAATATTTCAATTTAAAAACCATACACTTGAATCTATATTATATTGATAAATGAAATCTTTTCTCATGGCCTCAAAAAATAGGTTTTTGGAAAATTTTCATTTGTTTTTATCTAAACATGTAGCAAAATATGAAACTTAGTTATGCAACAATCACTCTTATGTAATAACTACAAAAAAAGCTGTTAAGTTCTACAACAATAATTATAATGACAATACTTTTAACAATGAGTAAAAGCAAAACTACAAGAAGTATGTTTGATCACTTTGCTCAAGTCATCAACTGAATACCTTCACTAAATATCCTGTTTTTGGCCCTTAATCCATCCAATAACATAGTAAGGTAGGACATGGTTAGCAAAATTATCAAGCACTGATATAAAAATGTTGCATGTAAGCTTCCTGTACCATACCTGTTGCATTTGGCCAGTGTATTTATTCCTATTTAATAAATTTAATGATATATATATATATATACACATATTTAGCTAATGCTATAGATAATTAAATATCAAATAACACCAATCAGCAAGACTCATCTATGACCCTTAGTTAGTATAATAATGCTTGGAGACAGCTTGAATGGGTAATGAAGAAAAACTTGAATATAAGTTTAACATAACAGCAAATAGTTAGTACGTATAATAAATTATGTAATCAAAAATATGTATAACTATAATTTTATCTGGGTACATACTATTAGCATTACTAACATTTTTAAAATACATACTTGCTCTTAAAAGTTACAACTCTATGTATAACTTAAATACATTGTGTCCTTCATAGTTCAAAGCTATACTACTATTACTAATAGTATTAGTAATACTAGAAACAATATACATCATATGTCTACAACTTATACAAGTCCAACATATCACATTCACAAGGCCGGCTTATGTAATCATCCTTGACTTGACTACTTGTTAGGCCTAACTATGTATAGTATAATACATGTTTTGACATAGTACTACTATTAATTCTAGTAGCAGTAGTACGTACGATAACTTAAGACAAGTACTTAGTACTATGAGTATCACTCCACTGCTACAGTTTGTATTCATATTGAAGTTAATAATTTATCTACTTACGTTTCTGGAAAAACTGGTGAACTTTCTTTTTAAAAAAGTAACAGAGAAATTAGAAAAATGCAGCGATTTATTAACGTTAACTCTCGATACGGCAAACATCGTACTTAAATTATAATAGCTTTCTCATTCACCTTCTCTTCTGATGAAAAGAATGACGAAACAGTCACCCTCGTGGTTCACTACATAAAGTATCGACTGTGGCGCTGTTATGAATTTAAATGATAAAATAATGTAAAAAGTAAACAAACATAAACTTTAAAATAGTTTGTTTACCTACGTTACATGCTTAGCGTACTTAATTAATATACAATATATATATATATTAATTATTTTTAATTATACGTCTAGTACCAAGTAATATTACATCTAAAAATACATAATATTTTTTCCATGAAAATTATATTCTGCAAATTACACAAAATGATTTATATATTTTTTGGTAAGTCTGAAGGCTTATAACGCTAAAAGCCGTGTTTTGATACAGTTGTGTAGCTTTGTGCTCAAGAGCAAAACAAACAAATATACAATAGATTTTTTAAACTATAAAACTAAGAGTTCCGAAATAATATTAAAAACTATTTAACATTGAAGTTATTTTGAATACTATAACAGTCGAAGTAAGGGTTATATTCATTAAATGGGCTGATGGTTGGGTGGGTGGGACTTGGCAAAAAGCTTTTATTAATTGAATTCATTCTTTCTGGACATATGCTGATGTGATATTTTCAGATAAATAGATTTCTGCGCATACATCAGATAGGTCTGCTTAATAACAGGAGGAAAAGACCGAAAGTTTATAGAGTAATATGAATTTCGAAACCAGACTGAGTTTTAAGGTATGTGAAAAATATAGAAAATAGACACATAAGATGCTAAGTGAAAAAAATCTTTATTAGAAATAAAGCAAAAACGAAAAACAGTGTGCTTACTAGAGCACACCCAGGGACGATTGCCTCTACGTATTTAGTGAATTGATGGGCAGCTTTCTTTCTCGTGAGACAGACTTCTCTCAAACTATACACAATGTAAGTCAAAGATAACTCTGAAAGTATATAGGTTCTAATCTCGCAAAAAAACCTCATAGCCTTTCTTTAGAATAATGCCATCACATAACTGGTTATTTTATAATAGTTTTTACCAGCTATAACACACTGACATCATTCACTCAGTCAGCGGAGGACATTGTAGATGTTGACCCTTTCTACATGGATGTGAGAAGCTGCTACAAAATTATGTGTATCGTAAAATTATATTCGGAAAGAATAAACCAGTTTTATTAAGTAAGGACTCGTGTCGCTAAAGTTTCGTCGGAACGAATTTACGGGAAATCAATTCACAAACGGAGACGTAACAATATATTCAATTTAAACATTCTGGTAGATGATCTCAGACTGATGAGTTTGAAAAAAGAATAATTGCAGTCTAGTAGAAGTGACAGTCCACAGCCACAGCAATTACAAACACAGTGTTTGTGTGTTCTCCTATAGTAAATATTATGCTTTTTGTATTTTACATTGTGTCCAGTCTCTTTATTTCGTTCTCATGAACTCAGGGGCCCGGCATGACAAGGTGGTTAAGGCGCTCGACTCGCAATCTGAGGGTCGCGGGTTCGAATCCCCGTCACACCAAACATGCTCGCCCTTTCATGCCGTGGGGGCGTTATAATGTGACGGTCAATCCCACTATTCGTTGGTAAAAGAGTAGCCCACGAGTTGGCGGTGGGTGGTGATAACTAGCTGCCTTCCTTCTAGTCTTACACTGCTAAATTAGGGACGGCTAGCGCAGATAGCCCTCGTGTAGCTTTGCGCGAAATTCAAAACAAACAAACATGTACTCAGATATTCAGAAAAATTTGGTATTACTCTGTAACAAGCAAAAGTACCCTTCCCTAGTGATGGTAAAAATATTAAGTTAGTCTATCAAATTAAATCATTTATGGACTTTAAAAAAGGTTAGTTAAGTTGCACTCTTGATTTCACTAAGAGCCAAAGCTCTGAGCTACTTATACTTCCCATCGTGAAAAGTAATTGTTGAGCATTCCAGTCATGCTAAGAGCCGCTTATATAATAACATACGGTAAATCTACATTTCTATTCTTTACGTTTCTTTACATTTTGAAGTGTGAATGATAGTGTGATTAATTCCTAACAATTTAGTGTATAATATCCTGCTTGTGAAATAAAATTTGGCATCAACATTATTCATGCCTGTTCTCCCGTCATTTCAAAAGTGAATGTTGAGCTTTGCTTGTGTGTGTGCAGCTTTTCAAACACAGAGCGGGAAGCGGCTGCCGTAAACGGGAGACAGACAAATACTCAGACAGACACCATGGTTCGATATATATATATAAGACAGAAATATTGTCAGATCTCCTGTTATTCAGTCTACCTATTTCATTGTTTTAAGACTAATCAGTTTTACCTGAGCATACTACACTGCTATCATTGCTATTCCTTATTTACGTTGCTGCTAATCACGTGTGTATAATTGGGAAATGGTTAAATTTGTTAGTAATGCGGTACTTTTAGAACTGGTTTTCTTTAGAGTGATGGAATAGGATATTCATCAAGATATTTATTACAGAGTAGTTCTGAGTTCCCTGAATAACAGAGTCCATGAGAACAAAATCAAGAGGCTGGGAATAATGTAAAACACCAATGAACAGTCTTTATTATTAATAGTAATACAAACACAGTATGTGCACTTGCTTATTTGTGTAACAAGTAGCGCCCAAATTTATTTATTGGAGGTTTTGTCGTTACGAGTGGAGCCACAGTCGCTAACTAGAGGAAGTTTACAATTAGATTAAAGAACGAGAGTCTCAGGCCAATGGTGAACACTTACATCAAAGTTAGATATGTTCCAATACTACTTCCATTAACACATCTATATGATTATATATGGTTATACAATACATATTATATTGTTGCGTCATCGAGATCACGTGACTATTCTCACGCCCTCTAGTTTCTTGAACTATCTTGTTCCTTCATGAATGCCCTAGCATTTACTAGATAGGGTAGTCTGGTATATATATATAAGAGGGTGACAACGTGACGCAAGTATGTAATGTATGTGTAGATAGTGAGTAATTGAACTGCAGTCACA